GAGGAGGAGGAGGAGGAGGAGGAGGAGAATGGGACTACGTGACCCGGGTAATTAATGGCACACCCTTTTCCCCAAATGCGAATATGCTTCAAACATGCGTTTCATCATTGTGAATACGCATACACTCGTAATCCAACTCTCTCACCCATTTACACAACCCATTACTGTAAATGCCTTTTTATTGACACTGCTTGCGTATTCCACTTCTCAAGAAAAAAGTCAAAGAAGAAAAAGAATCCAATGACCATGAGGGATCCGATCAATCTGTTTGTCACCTGATTTGGAGCACACATCGATGTCGCTCAAAAGTGACGCCATCATACGGTTCAAACACTCACACTGTTTGTGCGACTAAACCAAGTTGATCCACAATTTTAACTAACAAAGTGCTCACGTCACGCCATTTCGATGTATTGGAACCTTGTGTGGCCTTGTAGCCCCAAGTAGGCTTCAAATTGATTCACAATGGTGTCATAGCACCATCAACTCATTCTACCATAAAGCAATTTTAGTGAGAAAATGGCGGTGAATTACAAGGAGTGCTAGAAGCACAAACATATTTTAAAGCCCACATATGAAAGCAATTCTGTGCCTCTTTCCATCAATTATGATGGTGACTAGGAAGCGAATATTCGTACGTGAAAAATATCATCCCTATATTTAGTGAGCATATTTGTACCGAGCTTTCCAGTGACTGCACATCCTCCGAGTTGTTGTGACTCGGAATAAGAGCTCAACCCATTCAAATGACGACCTTGGACTTAAAGTGATGCCATTTTAAAATTGCGTTTTACAAGATGAGGAGTGGAATGGATGGCGCCAAGACAATGGTGACGTGTCTTCTCCACCCTTTTCACAAGACTTAAAGTTAATCATTTGAATAACAAGCACTATGCTTGGTTGAATGATCAGACCGCACGAAAAGAGGAACGTGGGCATTACGAACTGTCGACAAGTATGCGATGTCAGTAGGAGAGAGAAAAAAGCAATCCAACATCTTGGCTGTGTGCGTGCATGTGCGAAATGAATCCGAGACCAGCTTTTGATATGCTTGGCTTTAACATACTCCCGTCAGTGGAGTATATTCATGATTATTTTCGACTACAGGACGAATTAGTAAGAGGTATCGACACCAAGTTCAAGTTATGAGCAGGAAAGAAGGCATGTGGTAAAAACTTCCCAAATCATCAAAATTGGCATTTGATGCATGTACTTGCTCCAATTCAAAGGCTAAAAAGTACACACACACACACGCAAAACACAAATGCATTCCATACCATATTTAAAGTTTTTAATGTTATCACCACTTGATTCTCATGCCAATCTATTGCATGTGTATATTCAAATGAATGGACGTGTCTAACGCAAACACGTGGAGACCTTGTGCAAAGCTGTGTGGAATTAATTCAACCCTACTGGTCGATACTGAGGTAAAAAAAATCGCTAGAGACCCTCAAAAACTAGGTAAATACTCAACAAAGCTGTTTAATCGACACAATGAAATCTGAGCTCAAAGTAACCTTACCGTCTCGTTCTTAAGCACACTAAATCTAATAGTAACATAGCTTGGCCTTAAAATCCCCCAACGGACGTACTTACCCGTGCATCGTCCTAAGAGCTGCTTCAACACTAGCCTCCCCGACGGACGACGTCGAGCTCACGTGGCGCTCAGCAATGAACACTCTTCACCCCGAGTCGAATGCATAGTATCCCACCCCCGCGAAGCCGTAGTCACCGTCAAGGAAGGACTGAGCATAAACTAAAAGCAAACCTACTAAATCCTTTGAAAGATAAGGCGCGGTAGACCTGACGGTTTCACACACGTAACCTGCACCACCCCAAACTTTCATCTAGATTTATGAAAAAAAAACCCCAGAGCCAATAATCTGACAAGCTGAACAGAAGCACAATGAAATAAAGTATTATTTCGGTTTTAGCGAAGATGTAGCGGAAGAAGATGGCCCCCAACCACTATACGCACATGCCAGTGCGTATTGTACTAGAAAAGAGGAACTAATGGAATAAGAGATAGAGAGCGAGCACCTCGACAAAGAAACGGAAAGTCATCAAGGTGGTGCAGGTACAATGCCTGAGAAGAGGGTAGACTAATGGTGGCAAAGGCGCAGTGACCAGTGTTGGCGAGAATATGTACAAAGAAAGGAGCGTGTTTGTGTACTAGTACAAAAAGGAATGAAATGATGTTATCGCCGATGATGGAGTAGTGTGGGGGAGAGGAGACCCAAAAATGTGAAGCCTCCACGCATACGAAACCGTAAAGTAATAATAAAACAATGGTCGGGAGAAGAGGATCAGAAGGGACGAAAGAATGAGGTATTATTCACAAATGGAAGGAAAGCAACAAAGACGAAAGAGCAAGTTCAGGGAGCAGACTAAAGGTGACGCCGAATAGCCTTTAAATTTTGCGGATTTTCGGACAACGCACCTCGGGGTTGTCACGAGCGATCTGATCTTGACCCTGTTTGCGGTAGTCGAAGGTGCAATCGTGCTGGTCGGAATATCGATGAAGAGCACAAAACAGCCCCTCGCACCGACACTGAAAGCCTGCATAAAACATCAGCATAATTATTAAATGACCAAAAGTTGGTTATACACAGAAGCGAGTGCCATTTTGGAATGCAACAAAGAATGCATTCAACCCGCCAGATCAATATACCACAAAGGTCATCAACATTGAACGTAAAAAAGGCACAACGAAGCTAGTCCTCCTTCTATAACTTTAATAATATTTGAAAGTGCGAATGGATCCTACAGAAATATGTATGAGTACACACCAAGAGGACAGGTAATGATCTTCTTGCCTTTAAAATAAAACTAAAGCTGCAGAATAAATCGGGAACTCATCACATCACGACTATCTACTTTACACTTTCCTCAAATGTGACCAAACGATTTACTAGGTATTTTAATTGGGATGCAAATAGTGCTTAGGAATAAGCCCACAGTGCATACCCGAAAAGGAAATCCAAACACGATTTTGATAAAAAAAACAATAAATTGACACTCCTTAAAGAGCGACCCAATTGAATAAAGATTTATAAGAACCAATTTCCAGATCACATTACTATTTTCAATATAATTGCAATAAGCCGACTTCATTTCACCTGTGAGACCGACACGCTTTTTGCACTTTTGGCACCGATTTACTGTACGTTGAGTATGGGCTTTGGGAATGTTAACCGAATCTGCAGAAAAAAACAGTAAATAGGTGGGTCTTAATAATGCATTCATTTAAAGGACAAAAACAATAGCAAGTGACCGAGCATACCACTTTTGGGTACTATTTCTGATTCAGAAGATGCGACTGAAAACACTGAAAAATAACAAAAGAAATTACGAAACATTGCAATCGAAGCTAGGAAAGAAAACGTACATAACTTACAGGATTCTGAACTCTCGGATGCGGGCAGTTTCCTTTTGCAAGCGAAAGTTTCAGAGTGGGAGAGAGAAGCCTTTTTTAGTATGTCCAGATCATTCAGCAGAACCGACTGATTGGATTTTAGAGCCGGGTAAGCAGCAGACACGTTTTTCGAACTCTGAGTTGATTTTTCGCTTTTCAGATACTCTTGGTAGCATTTGGAGCACATGTTGTTAAATTGCACACTGCCGTAGAAACCACACCCGCGTTTGCACAAATTCTTGGCTGCCGCCTCACTCTCAACCTCTGGAGTTTTATTGTTCTTGGGAAACACAAAACAATGGTTATTTTAGAGGCATTGTAGTTTTATCCAGTACGTGAAAGAGGTAAGTACAGGGCGATACGTTTATATTCTGTGTTCCGAAAAAAAATCGATTAGACATGAGCATTTCAAGACACTAAACTGACAAAGGGGCGAATTATCATAGCAGCCGAGTTAAAAAAACATTTTCATATAGCTCGAACGTCTTATAGCTGGTGTGAATGTTGGAGGTAATAAATTGGTTGATTACTGAAAAGTAACCATTAAAATAAAGCCCACTATACGGATCAACAAACATCATGCGAAACTGCGCAAAGAAAAATATGCATACATGATCCAAGTTAAGGACCCCTAGTTAGCGTACATTACCCTATGGTACGATATTTACTCACCATCTCCAAAGCAGCAAGAGCCCCAACCGGAAAGCCAACAATCAAAGAGCTTTGAAGTGCCTCCGTTAACGAGGCAACAAAACAAGGAAAATGAAAATAGTTATTACAATTGTAAATATAATCTAAACCTAGTTTAAAAAAATAGAGTCTACATTTTTATTTGGGTTCAGTTGCACAATAAATGCAAAGTAAAACATTCGTGATTTTAGGTAGTTAAGGGGCAGCCACTGCATTTTTATGGCTTCACCGTCATCCATTTCAATTATTTACATTTTTATTCGTTTAGGTTTGTAAAAGCTTTTTGATCTTATAAAATTTCTTGACTGAAACTTATAATCGAGCATCTACTGCTAGATAAAGCATTTGCATATGGCGTATGCATTGCATTATTTCATACAAGTTATCACGCTTTTGGTCGTGCCTGACTGCAGCTGTAATAACAGACACACAACTAGTGTGAAGACCAAAACCTTGTGAAAATGGCCTAATTTTATTGCTTAAGACTTTATTGCTTTTGTCAACCTTTTAGTATTTCGCAAGATTGTGCTGTTATAATGGAGGATATAACTTAATTGCTGACTATGGGAGTATGTTTGTATTGTTCAAATACTTTCAATTTTGGGCATTGCTATGTTTGCATAGTTACAGCGGCAAATTGAATAGTTCGGGACATGTATCGTCATCCGAAAATCGTTGCTACATCCAGAATAAGCCTTAATCCACCGCCTAACATCGATCCAACCAAAGCATCATTAGCTTACGAACCTTTAGCCATCCCTCGCTTAGTTAGTGCTTACCCAAGTTATGACTGCTTTTCTTTCCTGCTTCCATCGAGATTTTCCAGTGGTTTCACAAATTTTTGCTTAAAATGTTGCAAATAAGTTAAAAATTCGATGCAATCAGAAATTACTAGCATACTTAGAGCCCAAGACTACTGGGCTAGTGTATCATTGCATTGTTACTGTCGACTATGTTTAATAGTACTTATGCAGTAATGCTGAATTGTGAAGTACTCACGTAGAGTTTATGCAGCTTTTAAAGTAAAGTTGAAGTTTGAAACTACTGCTAACTTTATGCATAGGAGCGTGAACTAAATGCTGATGATCTGCTCACACGACAGAGGGCAATCAGGACCTTGTGCGACTATTTACATGATCCAGAACATATTGCTGATGCAGTACGAGGTGGTATTATCGCGCTCCTAAAGCACTTGTTAAGAGATCCAGATGTGCCATGTCGTGCCATGGCCGCAGAGTGTTTCATAGTCCTCAACCGTTCGTTCATCATTTTCCGTCAACAATTCCATAGAGCATCCGGGTGGACGCAAAGCTTTTGTTGAAGCCAAGGTATACGACGTAATGAAACTTCTATTTTCCTTGTATGAACCCGACCTCGTTCGCCTCAATGCACACCGTTCAATAGAACTGGTTGTCTTAAATCCTATATATGCTCAGTTGCTCGTGAAGGAGGACATTATTCCTCTATTGATTGCCTATCTTGAAAATGAATTTATGGAGATCAAAGTATCCACTCTGTATGATGATGCTCAATTAATTAAAATTTAGATTCTTATTCTGGACACGCTTAACAAATGTCTTGTCTTTGACACTGATGCTGGCTTGGATGCCAATGGAATGTGCGTTTTTAACAAGCTTCTGATCCATCACGATTCAACTGTTCGGTACAAGAGTGTGCAGGCTATACTTCGGCTAGTGTACGCTTCTTGCACAAACGTTAATATGTTTTTAAAGAGTAAATGATCGGGGAAAAGTTCAGGCCATTGAGAAGGAAACGGTACCTCGACTGATCCACTTACTCCTTGATATGGATCCCGAAGTTCGAGCTTCAGCGGCGGGAGCGCTTGCATTGTAAAAAGATTAGGATTCGAAACTGAATCATTCATAATATTTTATCACGCTTTGCTTGTTTTCTAGCATATGTATTACCACGAGAGGTCGGTATGCCTGTTTAAATGGAGATGCCATTCCCAATCTTCTGCGATGCCTTTTAAATCCAAGCGACCGGGTTCGTGTTAATGCGCTGAAGGTGAGCATCTTATCATGCCATCACTTGTCAAAACTTTAGGCGGCTTGCACAGTTTTCGTGTGATTTAGGCTTTGGCTAGCATCGGAGAGGCGCCCGAAGGACGGCGCATCTTACTGAAGTCACTGGAACAGGTTAGGAAACTATTTATTACCTACTCAATTTCTCACTCATTGGATGCTTTTTTACTATGTATGAATTCGGTAGTAACAGATGAGATTGACTTGATCAAATGGTTTTGAGGTTTGTGGCACCACTTTTGCATTCAGTGCAGCAGTGGTGCTTTCTAGCACTGAGTTAATTATGAACAGGTAGAAGTTCATAGCATACAGCATGCAAAGGTTTCATTAATGCTTTTCCAAGGTGCTTTACATTCGTCCACTGATTTTTCTCATCCAGATTGAACGCATGCAGAGTGATGAAAGTGCTGGAGTCCGAAAACATGCCAAAATAGCTGTGGATGTAATTAAATGGAAGCCCTGGCATCTGGAGTCTCGGTGTTGCGACATGTCCGAGGCAGCAAAGCTCTGTGCGGGCAATTTCTAAGCTATGGAGAGAGCGTTTGTGGTGACAAAGCATTTGCTTTGACTTAATTCCATTCATAACACACAAATTAACACCACCTATGCTTAAACAAAAAAATGCACACTTACCTTACTTCTTTTATGTGAACACGAACCAACAATCTTTGAGAAGCCATTAACAAGAGAATTACTGTAGCTTTCGGAGACTTTCTGCCACGTAGGAATAAGGCTGTATGCATGTGTCCTAGAAGGCTAAGAAGGAAGTGGTCAGTGGCATGGCTCAAGGCTAATCAATGTAGCTAAAAGAGAAAAGCATCAAAATGATCATATCCTTTGCAGGTAGTCAAATAAACCAGTTACTCCAAAGCTCTGTCCTCATTTTTTGAGTGACGTTTTCGGAACTCACTTTGGTGCGATTCCCATGTCCCACAACACATCCAGTGCTACAATGAATTACTCACAATCCAGTCGCCTCAGGCCTCAGGTACCATGAGGCTGAGGGATTGTACGTAGCTTCTAACGCAGCTTCAACTGGATCCGAGAGCAGGAATCGTAGGAAGTCTTGTTAATCCCCACTTGTGTCCACTGCAACAGTAAAAATGCGATCAAACAGACTCCTGTATGGAAGGAACGCTGCCTCTAGGTACAACTTTGTCAAAAACTCTATTAGTGCTTCTACCATTTGCGCAAAGCACAATTCGTTCGGAATATGCTGACGGTGGTCGTGACGTGGATTATAAAGAGGTAAGTCGAGGCAGTGCATGTTCGACTGTGGTGCGGATGACGTGCGGGGGCAGTCACGTTTGCGACCTGCTGCTGACGCAATGCGGTGTGGCATTTACGATGACACAGTTTGGTCATACGACTACACTGGCAAAAAATGTTGAATGTGTTAGCCATTAAATAGGGACCTTGACGCCATTCACAGAATCACGTGCACATTCATCTTTTACATCAGCACTTTCGAGTGCATTGCAAACTCCAATTTGACATTCCAGCAAAGGCAATGTTTACTGCCGTAAAAACACGGGATTGGGCGCGAAGCACAGGTTCTACGACAATCATAAACAAAGTACCTAAACCAACCAGCCACGGTGGCATTAGAAGGAGTAAAAAGTTCCATGAGATCATTTGGCTTTGGTGGTAAGGGCTACAAGGGAAGTAAATTAAGATAATTACCTTTGAGTCTTATGCTTAAGATTGGCCATAATGTCGAGAGACATTAAGCAGGAGTGATAATTTGTAGTTAGAAAGAAGGGGAAGACGCGGAGCTCTGCCTTGACGCGAAGGCCACATCACCTGGTCAAGAGCAAGATTAACATCAAAGCTACCGCCAGTCACGCAGGTGGTGTAATAAACAAGGCAATACATCAACAGCTTCACAATAAGCACCTCTTAGAGACAACAGTTATGGTGTGATACACTAATGGCTGCAACGGGAGAGGATTTTGCATGAGATCCAAGAGATCTCGTGACCAACACTTCAAGTTGCCTGCTGGGCCCTCTTTCGCTCCGGAAGCACTCGTAGTGATGATGACATGAAAATAACGGTGTGTATGCGATGTAGACGGAAGGAGAAGGTTGAACAGTCAAACAGTTGTGTCTAAAGCCCTTACCAGATCGCAACGCACAAAATTTGAGCGTTTAGTAACATCCGTTTTCGTCAACCACGTAAATACCCACTGCGCCCACAACACTGCTTCCGTCTGATCTTCCTTCCCCATTTTGAAGTTAGTGCAACTGTTAGGAACTGAAGCTGTAAGTGGACAAAAAATAGTGAGAAAATGTGTGGTCGACTGCATTGAAGCAGCAAAAAACCTTAAAATCTGATCTTATCATGATGGTTGAATGCACAGAGCATGCCAAACTACGGTGAAATTGTGAACGCTTCTTTAACCGCTGGACTAAGCGATGCCTCATGTCGCTTAAAGAATAACTTCCTGCACAAGTGTTAGACAAATTGTTAGGGGAAAAAAAATTTGGATTAGATGGATGTTGTTTGTTGATATTCAGATTTTCTGGCAAACGTCGTGAAGGAACGGGAGGCCGATTTGAACTGCCATGTTTACCATGCTTGGCTTGTTTGCCACTGCACCATCACCTTCCCGGCGGCCCCACAATCTAACAGTCGTCAACTTGACTTTTTTCACGTACTATGCAACTGCCCCCAACATTAGGCAATTGACACCTTCAGTGTAGCATAAATTATTTTATTAAAGATTATAATGAAATCATGGCTCTGTACTGCAAGCCTTCCGAAAACATAAGCCTCATCTCATATGTCGACTTTGTTGCTTACGTCCCAACTTTAATCAAACCGACCGCAGAAAAGTTCATAAATAAGTGTAACTTGGATTTTAATGGAGTTGTTTTAATGGTTACGTAAAATAAGAATAAAAAAAGACGACTGTTGGTGAGACGGTGTGGTAACGTTTGGGAAAGGGAAAGGAGGGGAATGCTGCTACAAAAAGGAAGTTTAAAGACAGGTGGTTTTTACAAGCATCATGGTGACTGTGTATGGATCACAGTTTGCTGAAGGCCGTCGATCCTCCAAATAGCCATAGCCATTCTCGCTCACTTGACGAGGGATTCGAATGCTAGCGCCTCTGTTTGCCACACCGGATGAAAAGTCATAGATACTGCTCGTCTCATGACGACCCGTTAGCCGACGCTTGTTGTCGTCGCCGCCGCATGGGTCGTAGTTTTTGATGTGCTCATCGTGAGCGAGCGCCAATTTATCAATAGCTGCTGTGATGACACTAAACGAGCAGGAAAAAGGAGTGTGCAATAATACAATAAACGAAGATTTTGAATTGCAAAAAATGTCTTCTTTGTTTCAACTTACTCTATGCCCTTTCCAGGTGTGCGCATTGCTAGGGTTGAGAAGTTCGTATGCGCACCAGCTCCATTCCAATCGCCCTTCATGGGCTTGGGATCGAAGGTGACTACAACACCAAAGTCCTCAGCAACACGATGCAGAAGGTAGCGTGCCATCCAAAGATGGTCGGCGGCATCGACACCTTCACAGGGTCCAATCTGAAACTCCCACTGAGAAGGCATCACCTCGGCGTTGGAGCCAGCGATCTTAATGCCTGAGTAGAGGCAGGCGTGGTAGTGAGCAAGTACAATGTCGCGTCCGAATGCTCTGTCAGCTCCTACACCACAATAATAGGGGCCCTGTGGCGCTGGAAAGCCGTTTTTAGGCCATTGCAGAGGATAGTGATCGACATCAAGAAGAGTGTATTCTTGCTCAATTCCAAACCATGGTTTCTCCCCTTCGGCCCGTTTCATGACTTCAACGCATTCCCGGCGTTTGTTGGTAGCTTTTAAAGAGGCAAGTGGAGCCAATTTAGCCTAGAGTAATATTAGCATGCATTATGAGACTAACAGCCCTATTGGATCCGAACTTACAATGCGGTTTTTGGTCGTAAGTATACGTTTCACAAAGAACGAGTTTGTTGTTACGACGCGTAAAAGGATCACGAAAGATTGCAGCTGGATAGAGGTAGACATCTGAATTTGAGCCCTCGGCCTGCCCTGTACTGCTACCATCAAAGTTCCATATGGGATAATCTAAATGACAAAAGTTTTTAATTAGTCTACATGAAAATGTTCACCACGTTAGCAATGCAAGTGATGGCAAAATTAATTGAATCTAACACTGCTAGGTATGCAAGACTGCCGATGCGCAACAATAACTTTAGTTGAGTAGAGCCTAGAAACTACTCACCCTTAACAGATTTGGGTTCTTCGGAGAGAGTCATAGTTTTGCAACGAACATTTTCGCCAGAGCCGTCAATCCATACGTACGTGGCCATGAACTCTCCCTTCTCGGAAGACAGTTCAAGGTATCGGTGAAGAAGAGCCTTTTTGCTCGAATTGCTGTCAAGTACAAAAGCTGTCATTTTTGCTAATGAAACTTGGTGCTGTTTCGTCTCCCTTATATACTAGCTACCATGCGTCCAGAAAATAACTTTCAACGTTTTCTAAACAGCAACCTTCACATTGAGCGATGATTGGTCCGACGAGAGCCAATCAAATGCAAGCAAGTGGCGATTGGGCAATAATTGTTGTACAAACCCTTCTAATGTCACACTCTGCTCTAAACAATGAATGCATTTGTACTTATAACCATAATCCTTTCTTTTGGCAATTGCAAAACCTTAAACCCCATAAATGGAATATACGGCTTACGAGTTTTGAGTTCCCACAGAGTTTTGAATGCTTCATACACTGGAACCTTCAGCACCACAATTAGAAAAAACTTTAGGTCTATTAGAAGACTCTGTGAATCTATAAATACCAATTTGTGTGTTTTTCAAAGCAGATCCACACCAATCCTTCACAGCCTGCGTGCTGGTGTACAATATCTCCTCTATCTTAATGATTTGGCTTCCACATACAAAAACCTGAAATTAATTGGCGAAACTTATGCACCAACTCACTGCATTATAGTTCTGGGACATTTGTACGTAGTCGCTGAACAGAAGGAATCAAGAATATCGCCTGACCTTAAGACCAGGTCGTCTAACAATAGCAGGAGACGCTTTAAGTGTTGTTTTAGCTTCCGCAGTGCCATCGTCGGAATTCCTCTTGACCGGATCCGCAAGAGCCCACCTTCCTTTTGGTGTTCTTTAAGGCATGGAGGTACACAATGTGAGCAGTAGAGTACAGAGAAAGTAGGAAGGGAAGAGTACTCCGGTACAGAGTTCACGTCTGTTCCCTCCTCAACCACAGCGTCCACACCGAACTCGTACCCTTGGCCCAAAGGACACTTTAACCAACCCATGCGCTGCGCTGCTTTTCTACACTAGGCATCCAACTTTAGCTTTAGGTCTTCAAAACTAATCCTCTTAAAAATGGCTGGCGCTGATAATTGGAACCACTAGTTGCGGACAATCGGTCCAGTGCTATATGACCTAAAGATTCGAATTTGGCCTTAGAAGTCTGAGGATCAAAGTTTAGTCATAGGACAGCAGCACCACGTAGTGGGTGTAGCAGAGGGTA